TATATATATATATATATATATATATAAATATTTAATTATCAATGCACATTCTCTTTTATATTTCCTTCAGGAAATAATTAAAAATTGTTCTCTCTGAGACAATATTAAAAAAATAAATCATAATCCATTGTAAATGATAAACTTCTACTAGTTAATGTGCGTAGGATGTGTAGTTAAGTCGAGCGTTAACACTTTGCTTTCCAAACATTCGCCTACCTGAAATTCACATAGAAAAGATATAAAAGCGCGAACTCGATGTAATAAAAATACGATTCAAAACGGAATAATTCACTTACGTCCGGGCAGATTCCTATAAGCGCGTCGGCATGCGAGTAAAACTCCTCCTTCAACGATATCACGATAGTTTGCAGCGAGCTAGTTTTGTCACGGATGTAGCTCGCGACTTTTCCTATGTTCGTATTGTCGAGAGCCGCATCAATTTCGTCCAGAACGAAGAACGGTGCGGGCTGAAAGCTGAAGGATACGAAAATGGCGAATTAATTATTTGTTACGTTCCAATTACATTTATAGCTACTCGCGCAATTGGGCGCATGAATACTTTGTCCGACACGCTTATGCTCAGTCGTCTCGAGTTTTTGTGGTATTCAAAAACACATCTCATTTGCATAACTAATAATATGCTTTGGTTGCTTTACTTAATGGAAGAATAATAGGAGAATCGTACGTTAAGTTTCTTCGTGACCACAAACTGAACCGAACAACGCTGATGCGCTCAATTGTACAATATTGTACATTAACCTGTGAATCGCGAATAACAAAGCTAACGCGGCGACAGTCTTTTCCCCACCCGACAAATTCGACATGGGTTGAAACCGTTTGCCCGGAGCCACGCAGTTGTAATTAATGCCGTCCAAGTACGGTTCTTCCGGATTTTCTGGTCCAAGGAACGCCTGGGCGGATTGATTTTTCGCCAAGCTCTGAAACAACCATAACGTATATAAGAACAGAGCGTTTAAATAAAATAAATTTATACCAACCGGGATATCGAAAGAACTAGTTTAGTGTGGATCTAAGATTAAGGGCCCCAAGATCAGATTATGATGTAAATATTTACCTGAATTTATAGATACTCTCATATACAAATTTATCAATCTACAAACCTTATAAATAGGATCGATCTCGTTCGCCACGTGCTCGAAACACGCCATGAATCTGTCGTGCCGTTCTTTTTTCACTTTCTCGAATTGCGTCTTCGCTTTCTTCGCCTTCTTGCGAGACTGCTCGAACTCTTCGTTGGTTTCTTGTAACTTTTCCTTCGCCAGATATAATTTTTGAATCGCCTAAGGAAACATTTAAGTGTGTTTGTAACTTCCTTTTTTAGTATTCATCAACGCGTCTTATGTCGTGTTTAATATCGAACGTGTTGCAAACCTTCATGTTCGGTGCTTGAATACGCTGTATCGTACTTTGCAGATCGTTGATTATTTTCGTTAGCTTGTCGGTTGTTTTTTTGATATCCTCCTCTTCCACATCCTTCAGATTTTCGGGCAGAAACGCGTAGTCTATGGTAATCCTTCTCTCGCGTTCGTACTGTTGCTGTGTGCTCACTGACGACGTGTCATTCGTGTCAATGACATTCGTTGTGCTCGTCTCGCCCGCTATATCTTCCATATTCCCGTAAAGCATAGGAATCGCGATGTCTTCCATCTGAATGTTATTATACATTTAAGAATTAAACATGACACATGTACGAGACACATGTAAGACCGGACAAACCTTGCACTGCATCAAAATTGCGTGCCGCTCAGCCTTCTTCTGCTCGATCTTCGTTTCAATCGAATTGAGTTGCTTCTGAGCTGCCTGAATGTCCTTCGCGATAGCGCCCACCTCACGTCTGGCTTTACCGATCTCGTCTTCCTTCTGATCGACCTCCATTTTCTTGGCGTTGCGTGACGACTTCAGCTGCTCCATCTGCGTCTCGTCGTGGTCGATCTCCGCTTTTTGATTAGACTCGGTTTGCCTCGCGGACTCAAGCTTATCCTCCGCATCTTGGACTGCTCGCTCCCATCGCAAAACGTTACCTGCGTCACGCATAACATTAAATATAGAAATAAATAAATAATACAAAAATACACAGAGTACGCCAAATGTGAATATGCAACGCAGTATGTTGTGACTTGTATAATATAAAATTCATACTTATACTAACAGAAAATTTCAATATCGCCATTTGAATTTACGATATATGAAATATTCGCTCAACATACTTTCCGTGTCGCGTTGCTTCTCGAAATCTAACTGATTGTAGATGCGGTTGCACTGATTGTCAAACTCCATCCTCTTCTTCGCTCTTTCTTGCTGTGATCTAGAATGACAAATACATTCGTACAGAGTATGTTACATTCAAGATAACGTAACAATTACACAATTCAATTCCATTCCCGTACCTTAACTCCCTTTCTTCGTACTGACGAATATTAGAAACGCCTATCTGCTCACAAAAACTAGCAAACACGTCGTCCTCAACGTTGTTCATCTTCTCCTTAATGTTCTGAATCTCTTGATCCCTTTCAGCCATAGTCTTCTCGATGGCAGCTATCGCAGGCTGTAAATAAACATGTACTGATCTCTTTTGTCAAATCTGAATAAATTTATATGTTTGTGCAGATACACAAAAAATATTTCAAACTTACACCAAACATGTTTAGCTCGTTTTGCAGACCGTTTAACTCCACTTCAAGATCCGCAATTTGCTTTTGCTACAAAAAAAAGTAGCACCATCGCAATATTACTTGGATAATCATATATTGCGTAGAAATGTGCAATACTTACTGTCGCAGACAAATCGCTTTTGTTGTACTTCAAACGAGTCTCCAGACCACGTATTTGAGACTCGACCGTGTTCAATTCGGATTCCTTACGCGATTTTTTCAAAGATTCTCTCAGTTCTTCCGTTAGTTTTTCCTATAAAATCAAATTCGAGAGAGATATATGCGTTTGTATTTTCTCCGAGCATATCGAAGTAAATATAAATCACCTTTTGCGCCTTTAATTGCGACATTTGCTTCTCGTCCCATCTCTTCGCCTTCTTTGCAAGGTCTAAACTACCGCCAGATATTATGCCGGCTTTTTGGTAGAACGTCCCGTCCAACGCGACGCACTGTAAAAGCATTGAACACATCATACATTTTGCTTGATTGCTTCCTCTTTCCATCGATATCGCAAACATACATCGTATCTAGCTTTTTTGTCCATCTCGTACGCCACTTTATTCGCATCTTCCGGCGTCTCGCACACAAGAGCATTGTTAGTGGCGAATAATACCGCTCTGTCGATGTCCTTCGGGGAGAAATGCAGTACATCGTACAACAATTTCACATTCTTGGGTTCCTGTATATTGCTGGCAAAATAAAAAAAAAAAAAAACAGTACATTGGCTATTACCATTGGTTACCAAATATATAAAATAACAAGTGTCAAGGAACGAAAATATAAAGACGATTCAAGGATTTTAACGAAGATACGACACATGTGAACGTCTTATCTGCTTACCGAAGACGTTCTTTTAATGGCTTAGCTTGTATGTAATCGAGCGGTAGGAACGTCTCCGGCTCCAGATATTGCTCCTTCAGGTACTGGATGCATTGCCTGGCTGTCTTCTCGGTATCCACCACGATTGCCTCCATGTATTTGCCGAGTACTTTCGTGATCGCAACGTTATATCTCTTGTGTATCGGCTCGCACATGTTGTACATGCGATCGTACTGGAAAAGCGTGAACAGCGTTAACTCGGTTGTTTACTCAGCTTGGAGGAGACGGGAAACGGGCGAGAAGATGAGAGAGACAACGTACCACACCGGGGAACAAGCGTTTAAAATTCTCCACGATCTCGGTCTTCTTCTTCGTTCTGGATACTTCGTGCTTGTCGACCTTGGCGTCGCCCAGTTGCTCCGAGATGTTCTCCAGTTCCCGCTGCAAATTCTGAACCTTGTCCTTCGACGTGCCCACGTCGGACTGTAAGTCGGCTCTGAGCTTCTTCTGGTCCTCCAGCGCCGTTTCGGACGTTTTTATGTGCTCCTCCAACTTCTCCACTCGTTTGAGCGCCTCGTCCCGCATGTGTCCCTTCTGCTTGTGCTTGTTCTCTATCTCGGTCTTCTTTCTGCCCTCGTTGTCGAGTCGATCCTGGTCCGACTTCTGCTCGCGATTGATCGAGTCGAGCATCTGAAGGTACCTGGCGGATTGCTTGCCGGCTTCCTCCTTCAAACGATTATACTCCCGCACCTGAAATCGTTTCACAGGGATCAAACGCGTTAGATCGGCGACAAGATTGTACGAATTAGATTATTATGCCAATAACGAAGCACAAATCGCGTTTGCATACCTGCTCGTCCTCCAACTGCACATCTCTTCCTTGCAATTGCGACTGTCCCGCTATACTCGCTTCGTAAGCTGCTTTAGCCTCCTCCACCTGCCGTAGTTCCTCCTGCAGCTCGTGTATGTCTTTCTTGTGAGCCTCGTCCGCGACACGCGCCTGACTCAAGGCCTTGCGCGCCGATTCCACCTTCTTCTGCATGTGCGCTACTCGTTCCTTAGCCTTGATGAACGTCGGTCTCTTCTTCGTTATTTCCACTTCCACTTCCCTGATGTCTTGTTCTATCTTGGCAAGATCCCTGCTCAGTTTACCGGCATCCTTCTTCTTCTCTTTCAACAGCTCTTCAGCTTTCTCCTTCTTCTTCTCGATTTTCTCAATTTCGTGTTGCTTCTTCTTCTGAGAGGCCTCGTAATTTTCGATACTCTTCTCATTGTGGAAGAGCCGAAAGAGTTGTAGTTCTACCTGCTTCTCCACCTGTAGTCCAACAGTAAATTTGCAATCAATGATTATATAAGCATATAATTATTATATAACTCATAATAGATAAAGGTAATTTCTTATTAAATATACATAGTATTCAATCCTATTAATGCATTCAGTATTACAATCGCTCACTGAGCTCTTGCATCTGATTGGTGTATTCTTTTAGATCTAAATATACAATTAAATGCAAGAGCTCATTAAGTGCTCAGTGAGTGGTTGTAGCACTGATCGCACTCTATGGCAAAATAAATCAACGTACATATTCTTCCTTGAGACGTTGATACTTCTCAGCCTCTTCTTTTTCTAATTTTGCTTCTTTTCTCTCGGCAGCAATGCCTTTCTTCTTTTGATATGAAAATTGGGTTTCTTCTTCAGCTTTCAACATTTCTGTTCTCAATCTAAAACGTCATTTTTATCATTTACAGGCATGCTGATAAGTGCAATCGATGCTACCTGAATATCTACCTTTCATATTCCGCCTTTAATGCACCAGAATTACTGATTTCCTCAAAAAGAGCAGTGCGTTCTTTAGGATTCTTCATAGCTATAGACTCCACCGCACCTTGAAATACTAAAAAGTTCTTTGCTTTAACGTTGATGCCAAGATGCTCCAACTCGTTAAGATATACTTGACTGGTGACAACCTACAGTGACGAAAAAATACTTTTGAATATTTAATTATGTGTATGTATTAAAATTAAATCACAAGACTCACAGTATTATTTATCCTGTGTTCCGAAGAAGAACCTTGTACAGAACGCATAAAACTTTTCTCAGTTCCATCTTCTAACTCAAATACCGCTGTTACCGAGGCACTATATTCAACAGAAAATTTGTGTAAATTATTGCGACTTCGTGTATATTTCAGTTAGAATATCATTGTATATGCAGAAATTGTACCTTCGTGCCACTGGCATCCCAATGGACGCACCATGAATGAGTTCGCTGAACCTTTTTACTCGCAAGCTACTAGTCTTCTCGCCCATGACAAAACTGATAGCATCCATAAAATTTGACTTTCCTGTGATATAAAGTGCAAACTGCTCACATCACGATTGTACAGAACTCATCAAACAGGTTTCAACGTAAAACATCGTTGACCATAGCTTAAAGTACAAGTGCGTACAGATGTTTACAAAAAAGCTATTGATTTAAAAGCTAAGGACTTCTTCTATTTGTTTTAACTCCGACATCGAAATCGCGACTGTGTTTCTCTTTGCGATGGTGTATTGTTTTAATTTTGTTACGTATATCTATGTGCTGAAAATCTGAATTACAATGAAAAGGTTTCACGAGTGGTTTTCCTATGTATATCGCTCCTTCTCAATAATATCATATATTTATAACTGCGTTTTAGACCGCTGATAACCCACTTTTACATTTTAATTGCATATTTAAGAGGCTTTAATATATTACTTATTATTGTTGATACACAGAATGATAACCTACCAGATCCATTGGGGCCGACCACTGCCGTAAAACTTTTCAGCGGGCCAATAATAAGTTTCCCTTTGTAAGACTTAAAGTTCTCAACTTCGATATGCTTCAGAAATGCCGGCATTTTTGTAAATAATCAAATAAATTACGTGAAATCAGAAAGTAGCGTAATTGGCGCCACAAAATCTCTAACACAAGCAAACATCGCCCATTCAACTGTCGCCCGTTGAGCACAGACAGCAAAAAGGGGAGGCTAAAATCCCGTTAGAAATAAGAACCGCGACATCAGTGCCCCTGTTGGACGATGACTCGCAACTGATGAAGCATTTCAACGTAAATCAGAAGTCGGTAAGAAAGATGTGCTTTTATCATTCTAGGAAAAATCCGTGAGATGTCGTTTCATATCTAAAAGAATAGGATAGTCCTTCTCTAGTAGCCATATTATTTTATAATATTGTACATATATGAATTCGTGCATTGACTAAGTGTATGTTCAAGGAAAAGGAGAGGTATTTATTGGAAACTGTGTGAATCAAACAAAAATACTTAACCTATTCAGCATTATAGATATACACAATCATGATGAAAATTCGGACAAAGACAATCTTGATCAAATTTTAATCAGGTACAATATGTATACAAAGTCCGAATATTAAATAGGAACTATACATGTTTAACGTAATCGATAATGCACGTTTATAATCGGTATTGGGTTATAATCAGCTTTTAACATAAAAATAGCCTGACACTATGCAATTACTCCGAAAATATCAATTTAAAAAGGAACAAGGCAGTCCTCGATAAACATGTCAACAATAATGTTATATCAATCTCATAACTTTCCATTCAATAATTAAGTGTAATACAATATATTGTGCGTAACAGTCACGTTGTTGATTGCAAAGTTACAATGATTGATGTAGTGTCAATTTTGATCAATTACAGTTGGTATTGAGTTGCGAGGCCATTATTGTTAGCACCGTCAATATCGACATCAGTATATTCGACAAATTGTCCACGTGCCAATAATTGTTAATTCAACGAGATAAAAACGTAGACGACAAAAATGGAGAAAGTATCGGCTCAATTAGCGATTCAAGCCATTTATGCGAGGAACACAAGTCGAAGAGGACGAGATGTTTAAGGTACGGAGTTTAGGGAGCCGCGAAGAGCTCACAGGCGAAACGGGAGGACGGGGAGGGTGAAACTCAGTGAAAGAGGTGGACGGACGTGGCGAGGGTGAAGGCGCTATCGGCCGTGAATAATGCGCGGTGGCGTCCGCACATCGTTGCGTCTCTCGTGCGTGCACGCTCGTGCGTTCGATTCGGCCTCGGCTGGATGGATTGATAAAGATTAAAGGTAAAGGGAGGTGGCAGGGTCCAGGGGTGTTTTGGAGTTAGGCGACAGAAGTCAGCCAGCGAGACGAAGCGGCCAGGCGAGTGCGCGTGGGGGATGATGTCACATAGGGGTCTCCCCCTTGCTGCTCCACCTCCTCTTCCTCCTCCTCCCCTCCGTCAGTCTAGCGTAAATACATACAGATGCAGGCCGGATTGATGCATTGACCGAGAGCAGTGACGTAGGTACGCGACACGACGGACCGCGTCTTTTTCGCGTTTCTCCTTCCCCCGCTGGATGATTCGAACGATTTTTCTCTGCGGATTATTCGGCCATTTCCATCGGTTTCTTCGGTGTACCCGAGTACACACGGGCCGCGTTTCTCTTGTCCAGGCGAATATATTTACTGCATCGCACCTTCAAAAACAAAAGGGAGTCAGGTGGATTAATTCTAAGCGTTGCTCTCAAGCGCTGTCTCTCGCTTGCGTTTTATGACATCCACATTTTTCCATTGGATAAATCGTCAGATATCTCTCACTTGAAGATCATTTGAAAATAATTGTTCTCCGACGTTATTCATTTTCAACGGTTTCTTGTAACATCTTAATGCGTGTATCGTTTCTCGATTCAAGCGGGTCTTTTTGTATACAAGGAACTTTTCGAGAGGCAGCGCACCCATCGGGATGACATTCTACGCCAATGCGCGCGAAGCTCGGCTCGGTATGACTCATGCGATCTCTCTCGCAGCCTCCCCTGCACGGTCCCGTATCGCAGTCATGCACAATGGAGAATAGCAAACGCAGTAAAGGTAACTCACGTTCGCCAGGACCGGGTCCGAGTTTCCCCCTGTTTCTGAAGTACCCGCGGGCCACGTGGCACGATTTTCACCCCGGCGCGCTGTATCCTTCCAGTAGCGATCGTGGAAACGATTTCGTCGTGAAATATATATTACGTCGTTTCTCTCCGCGATCGGACTCCGCGCGTAGACTCGACCGCTCCGCCGTTTCCGTCTTATCGCGATTTCTCTTCCATACTCGTATCCAGACGCAGATGCTATCTGAAAGTCGTTTTACAAAACTACAGCGGTTGTAATATCGGAGGGGCGACTGGGACGGGTACGTTAGCGGTACTGGTGGCCGTTTATCTCTTACAAAATCGTTAGGGATAAATTTACGACGCTCTGTTTGTATTTTGAAAGAGAAAAATGACCAAAATCCAATTTATCCCTTCGATTCTCAGTTGTGAGAATTTGGAAATTCGTAAATTGTCTTGGAAATTGAAATATTTTCTGAAAGCTCAGTCGTAAATTTCGTCCAATGATTGCTGAGATACCAATAGGCATAGGCGGTTTAACTGTCAAAAATAGTGAGAAAAGTGGATTATTGTTAATTGGTAATCGCAAATTGTTTAACGACAAAGGGAAGAAATGGGAAATTGCGCGAGATAAATAACGCGAGATCTCGGTCGTTGTTTCTGCGCTGCTGCTGCTGCGAGACTTTCGAAAACGTGCGACGGGAGAACAGAATCGTGAACGACCAATTTATACGGCGAGCGCCTCGGCGAGGATCCTCAATTAAACAATTACACTTAAATTGAGTGGAATTCCCACCGCGGTGCCCGCATGTTCGTTAACGATCATTCGTGTGCACCTACGAGCTGTTAAGGTAATACACAGGCGCAGGAAGCTAAATAACCTTTGATCAGGTACACGTGGACCCACATGCGTCGAAATTTATGAATCATGAGATGAGCGAGCCGCCGAAATTGAGATCGACGATAAGTTCACGATTATGGTGGCCTGAGTTTATACGAACGGAAAGCCGCTCCGGCAATTCCTGGGAAAATGTACGGCCATGCGAAGCACGGTGGTATCGAGATAAGCGTTTACTTTCGCGGAGGCGCGTCTAAATTTCTCTTTTCGCTTAAAATGTGGAATCATGACGGTGAAATAAATCAGGAAAATCGCGAAAAATAGAAATGCCTCAAAACTAAAAAAAAAAAAACATGTAAGCCTCACAAACTTAGGAAATGGACGTATGAATTAATAATACTTTGTATTTCTTCTCCTATTCCTTCTTTAGAAAAACTCTCGGAGGCTAGAAGGAATGATCAGAGTCATCGCCGATTCCATCGTCGCGACACCCATGTGTGTGCGGAATGTACTTTCTACTTCCGCTTCATGGCTCCATCGTGCCGCGACAGTCGTGTAACGAGACGCGCGTGACGTACGCGCGGATGGAAGAACGTGGAAAGAGCGGAGAAACGGAGGGAAAATCGGGTCGAGAACGGAGACGAAATACGTGCGGACGTGTACGGTACTCGGCACGTCAGTGTTTAAATGCGGGAAAGTAGAAGGCAGGAGGGGGAAAGAAAGAGAGAGAGAGAGAGAGAGATGACGCGAAATCGGCCGTCCATTGTGCTCAGGTGTGAGGCGTGTGCGCAAGGGTAGGATTCGCAGGGGTGATCAGGGGGATCAGAAAGGGGAGGTAGGCGGTGAGACGGGGGTAGATTTGCACACGCGGCACGAGCCGAGCTCCAACAAAGGGATGGAACAGATTGGAAGCCATTCATTCACTCGCTCGCCCTGTCTTTTTCCCCTGTATTTGACCGGGAAAGCATCGACCACCCTCCGCCCGCTCCCCCCCCCCCCCC